TTAAGATCTAATTTGAAGTCTGAATTGCGACGACTTACTCTATTGCTGGTTTGTGCGTTTGTCCTTTTTAGCCGGCTCTACTTTCAGAATTGCACTTGAAATAACAGGTGATAATGAATAACTAATTAAATAAATAAATAATTTTGCGTTGGCACACTAACAGTGCTTCAATGGTCTCTTACCCGTGGTTATGTCCTGTTCATACTGAGTGCAAACATTAAATTACAGTATTTGCAGATCTATATTTTCATTTATGAAAACAATTATGTCTATTGGAAGTTAGCTCAGTTGATAAAATTCCTTAAATGAGGATAAGCCTTACCGTGACCGAAGTGTCCCCAGTTTTTTGGTAGAACTTGTACATCACTCCATTATCACTAAACTGCAACCTGTATCTGGTCACCCATTCATCAACTCCGTTCACCCCCTGAGTCGCCAGTTGTGTCACATGAGTGTAACTACCAAAATCTACCTGAAGCCATTGGTTAGCATCGCTTGTAAGAGCCGACCACCCCCCAGCGTTGTTTCCCACGGTCTGAAAATGCAACCTGCCTTGTACTGCGGAATGGTTTCCATCCAATTGCGAGGAAGCAGTGATTTGCGCATCAGATATCGACCTACTTTCCATTCCAAGAGGGACAGTGCATTCTGTAATGAATGAATTTTGAAATAAGTCTATCATTAGACAAGAAGCTTCTCATTAGTATGCAACTACAATCTAGCTTCCAAGCGTCTTTCACGGTTTGATACTTTACAAAAATGCGTCCTGGCTCAACTGAAAATTTTCAAACATAAGCGCAATTTCCATGATCACATCACGCGATCACCGTTACGAATACCCTCAGTTTATTGACGAACAAATTAGAGAGAGTACACTATGACACTATTAGAGAGAGTACACTATGACAGGTAAAGGATACTAAAATTGAAGTAGCTTTCCTCCAGAGAGAAAAAGGCAATTCATTTTTTCAAGAGAAATAATTACGAAGTCAAGTCCTTATTCGTTATACTATATATGACTTTTGCAGCTGCAAAAATGTATGTTTAATTACTGATTTGATAGCATGGCTTTAGTCTATAATCAAAAATTTGTGATATGTGAAACAATTTCAAACAGTTCTGAAATATCAAACTTTTAATAGAGTCTATTCCTGTTAGGCCTCAAACTTGTTGAGAGCTCCCCTCCTTCCTCATAAGGAAAATAAATTCTTGACAACATGCCCTGAATAAAATAATATTTTGACAATACCTAGCCAACCATGGATCTCGGTTCGCATTCCAATTCGATAGTTCCAGTGTAAAGGTTTGAATCGAATGTAACGAGCTGTAATTGGTTGCCTCAACTTGTTTGGCACAACCGAGCGGACGTCTTGATTTCCAGTGAACACAACTGAGTGGAAGTTTTGATTTCCACTAAGCACCTGTAAAATGATCATGAAGCATGACATAACTTATTATCGACTTTTGTACTTCTTCAAACTATTGTTACAAATAAGACTTAACTCTTATTTTGTTTGATGGAAGAAGAATAGAAAGAACAGAGGGAAAGTGCTCTCCCTCTACTAAAACGAAGCATGCACCGATAACTGCCGTAACGACTGCGTAAGTGACTTTGAAATAAAAAGGTTTCTACATGGCATGACGCAGAAGGAGATAACATAGTGATTAACTTCTCTCAGGGAACCCAGCTCAGACTGCAATAATCATATAACCATAAAAAAGTATTTTTTAAAATAAGTCAAGGGCATTTTCAAATTCACTTCAATGCCACTTTCTGGATATACCTTTGGAAGAGTTCCTCCAGGTTCTTTGTAAAAATGAAATGTTATTCCATCGTCGCTGTACTGCAGCTTGTAACTGGTTGTCCAACATTTTCGCCGGCCTCGTAAGTTCACTCCTTGAGTTGCAACTCTCGTTACGCTTGAGTAAGTTCCAAGATCCACCTGAAGCCACTGTCTAGGATCAACTGCTCTGGCAACCCAGCCGCCCAAGTTTAACCGTGCAAATTTTGCAGAATTGTAATTATTCCATTCGGTGGAGGCGGTTATTTGGGCATCGGAGATAACCTGACTCTCCATGCCAAGTGGTGAGGAACAACCTGAATGGGTTTAATCAGAATGGAAACTCAAGAGAGGTGCTATAACATCCCTTTCAAAACGAGAATCTTTCCCTCTAATCTATCAGGATGAAGATAAGTCGGGTACAAGTTTTAGAAGCAAATCTTGCATGATCAAAGATCATAGGCTAAGCTCTGAAAGTTATGAAGAATCAGTACTCTAAACCCTTACTTCAAACACTTCCATATGGTTTTTACAAAATATAGATTTTAAGCAAGAGTTCAAAAGTGAAATAAGATACTAAGAAATAAGATACTAACAGGAAAATAATTTAGACGAAACATGAAAGGCGTGTTAACATGATTTCGAACATTTTATTAGGAGGTTTTCTTTCCTTAACCAGTTTTGTACACTATTTTCCCTTGATGTATTGGTTTTTTGGCTCTTTTCCTGCCTCTTTTGTCGGTTTTCATCGGACTCTATTTTGTTTGCATATCAAATTTTGCCTTCTAGGTTCAAAGGTGTTTTACACCCATCTTAGCGTCCCCAGAAAAACTAAACAGTTGTGTTTTCTTTTGTGACACCAAAAGTGATTTTTTTCCTTACTTAAAATACCATCATGTCATGAAATACCTCTACACCCATAAAGCTCCATTCTGAGTGATATATGGTTGTACCACGTGACTGGCAAAAGTCTGATATAACGAGCTGTGATTGGTGAAATCAACTTGTTATACACAACTGCATCACTGTCTTGATTGGCGTGAAGTACCTGATAGTTAAAACCAAAATCAGCCGAGCTCAAGTAGATACCTCACTTTCGCAGGACAGTTCATATATACACAAAATTTGTAAAGACTGATAAACTTAAAGGAGTGTCATTTGGTCCTATGTATACATCGTAATTTTAAAGGTCTATCAGATTATGACGAAACTTCACTGATTCATAATGATGCCAACATTTTGTAAAAAAAAAAATTGAGTTTATCTTCCAAAACGAATTTTCCTTTCGATCTTTGGATTATGTTAAAGTTAGCCAAGTCAAACCCAGACACAATGCTGTTGATCACAACATTTTTAGGTGTGTTAATTGATCGATGCAATGCTAAAAAAGCCAGACAACGTTATACTATAAAGTTATGGTACATGTAGGTAAGTTTCAGGGGAATCTTTTCTTTTTCAGGACCTCTTAAGAAGAGAGTTGTAAGGAAAACCCATTGAGAGAATGAATTCATAGAATGATAATTCAAAGACACTTTACTTTTGCTGACATTTTCCCTGGCTCTTTGTATGACTGGAAGATCACTCCGTCAAAACTAAACTGTAACGTGAAAGTTGCAATCCACTGCCGCCATTTTGTTGAGTTCCTTCCCTGAGTCGCCACACCTGTCACAGTGGTGTGACTGCCAAGATCCACCTGAAGCCATTGGTTACGATCATTTTTAAGAGACGACCACCCCCCTTGCTTGATTCCCTGTTCAATGAAGTTCAGTCTCGCCTGTCTTGGTGTGCTGTTGTTGTTCATTCGCGAAGAAGCAGTTATCTGGGCATCCGAAATCGCGCCACTCTCCATTCCAAGGGCTCCTGCCAATTAAACAAACAGAAGAGGTCAAGCATTATTTATCTGTAAAATGTTCGAGTGTATCAAAATTTTGTCTTCGGGATCTTCTTAAGATACATCTCAAACTCTGAAATTGTGCTAAGTAATTTTGTAATACTGTCAGTCAACAAATTCTTACCAGAACACTTAACAGCGCTATAAGAGGCTTGGAACCCATAGAAAGAACCATTCTTATCTGATCTGAATATTACGAGGAGACTGTTTGACGAAGAATAAATTCCATTCTTGGGGGGAGGCTGACCCCCATAGAACACTCCTAATACCTTCCCTGTCTGGTCATTGCCATCGTACACATAAACAGCGTCCGTGTTGTTCTCAGATTGTAGACTGAAGCGTGTAAACATTAAGGCCACCTGAAAAGATGCTTTCACCATGATCCTCCACATGCAGTATTGCCCATCTGGGTATATTTCGGGATAGTTAGGTGAGTGAATGACGCCTTTTTGTCCCTGTAAAGTTTGGTTTTGACATTTATAGTCTCCTACGAGCAAGAAAAAGTTAGTTGGGGTTATTTTCATTGAGCTCGAGGGCACAAAAAAATTGTCACAAGTTTCTGCAACTGCATATAGTTATGTCCATTCTCGCAGCCCATGAAACTCGTTCTCTCTGACCATTTCGTTTCACTCTCAATCAATGCTCAATCAGATTGAGTAAGAGAGCTGAATTTAACTAACAAGGACACCTTTTTCGGAGTACCGGTCGATCAAGTTGGAACCCAAAGATAAAGCTTTTTTCACCGATTCATGTACATCGGTAACTTGCAGTAACAAAGAAGGACGAAGAGATCTTAGAGATTTACCTGTTGGTTAAAGGTATCTACGTAATAAGTGCAACAGACTATACTGACTTGACATACTTGATGAGAGGGGAATTTTCAGAGTTATTTGACTGGGCCCATTATATCTCGCTTTCCACTGCTGTATCTTTTGTTTCGACATCCAGGATGGTTGTCTTGTGCCTGCGTAACCAGCAAATGCAAAAGAAGACCGAAAGCTTCCAAGAACAGGATCACTAGCCCCCAGTCTTTTAAGAGCGCTAACTGCTGATGAGGCATATCTCGAACCTTCGCCTTGAACACCGACCAAAACGATTTTGCTAAAAAAGAGCAAAACAATGACAAAAAAAGAGTAGTTTAAGGTCAGAAATGTAGGACAAAAAGGTCAGCACTTGGTTTTGACGTCATCTGTGTTCCATTCCCGAATAGACGCATAGCAACATGCAATATCTTTGTTAACCCTTTAACTCCCAGAGGTGACTAAAAAGTAACTTCTCCCTGCAATATCCATACACTATCCAGCAAACAGGTAATGAGAATACTCAAATGTACCAGGTAGAAGTTGTTATCTTGATCTAACACCAAATTCTCGTAACTTATTTACAAGGAAATGTGTAGCAACTAGAGGTGAGAATTAACAGTCAGATCTTGGGAGTTAAAGGGTTAAATGGTGAGGCATCATTTCAAAGGTATGATTGGCTCAGGCTAAAATTATTAAATGGTGACTGTCGGCTAACAGGTCACTTTTTCGGAATACCGTCTAAATACCTCGGGTAACACATTGAAACAGATAGAAGGTGTTTCGTATGCCTCCTTGTGCCTTTTTTCGCCGGGAAAACTGTCCTAAATGGAGCTTCGTGATTCATCGTGCCGTAAACGCTTCGATTTTGATCATGTGAACTTAACGTCACAGTTGTATACATTAAGCAAAGTAAATATGGCGGATAGTACTTCGAGAGAAAGCAGTTCTATTTCGGGGTCTGATTATTCGGATTTTGAGGCGTCGATGGAGGGTGAACATAGTGAAAGGGTTTATGAATCTGTTGGTGAAATCAGGCTTTGGCAACTGGAAACGCCAGGACAAACGTAACCTAAAATAGAGCGCGAGAGTCACAAGAGGATTAAGAGCCCGTGCGTCGCGGCCGCCTCAATGAAGAAAGCGAAAATGGTGAGTGCATTTATGATTGTAAATAAAGTATCTGAAAATCAGTCGCTGATTTAATGTAGGAGCGATCAAGTAAAGAAAGCCAAATGTGCAGACTCTTGAATACCATGAGAGCGAAGTGTTTTTATGTTACACGCACGCACCTTCCGAAGCTAAGGTTTTTTTACTGACTGAGAATATAAAGACACACGCTTGTGGAGGTGAATTTTATGGATTATACACATTCACACGCGACTAAATCGGTTTTAATTTTCCCTTTGTTGAATTTGGCGAGTGCTTGAAGATTTCTCGGCTTTTACTTTTAAACACGATGCAGCAAAAGATAGCATTCGCACATGTAGAATTGTAAATAAATAAAGGAACCTAAAGTTTGAGTTATCTCTTTTTTCCGCTCGTAAATTTCGGCAGCAGCTGAACAGCTTGGACGAAGTAATTACTTTCAGGTCTTGACGTGATGCTTTTCGCTGCCTTACACACGTGTGACGTATCACATCACGTGACCTGAATCGGACCATTTTCAAAATGGCCGTTGATTAAGCGCCGAAAAAAATTTGTAGAAAATTTGACTTTGCATAATATATCATTATTTTGCTCATTTAGGATTCTTTAACCTGAGAGGAATGTATTGGGACAAAAAAAGGAGAAAAATTGGCGTCAGTTACCCTTTAAACAACATCTACAGACCAGGGCCGGGTTGTTCGGGGCTGGGTTAAGATAAGCCAGGATCAGATCTGAGAGCTTTGAAAAAAAATTCAGTCGAATTTCTTTTTGTCTAGAATATGACTATTTGATGCCCT